TTGCTCTCCACCAAACAGATAGACATGGAGATTCTTTTTTGGGGGGTGTGTGTGGAGGAGACAGCTTTGTTATGTAGCCCTGGCTGTCCTATCATTCACTAATGCCTCTGCCTTCTGAGTGCTGGGGTTAAAGGTGTGCACCGCCACACCTTGACTTCCACGTTGAAGCAAGGCCTCTCCCTGAGCCCAGGGTTCACAGATTCCAGGTACACTGGCTAGCCAGCTTGCCCTGGGCATCTCCTGTCTCTGTTGGGATTACAGCAGCAGCCACACCTGCCAAACTTTTACACGCGTGCTGGGCATCCTGACGTCAGACTTTAAACCTTTGCAGCAAGTGCCTTAATCACGGGACCATCACCCAGCCCCCCTCATGTACCACTTTAACAAAGAACAGTAATGAGTGTGTGGGCCACCTCCTCTTCGTCCTGACTGTTTAGGTTGAACGCTTCTTATTTTGCGGTTCTATTAATGAAAATGACATAGTTGGAGTGCCACCTGCGGTTCTCCAGGCTGGAGTTGCTTTAAGGCAGTTGTTGTTGTTAGGCTGGGCCCTGTCTGCGCACCTTTGCCCTCCTTATGCCATCTCCGTTTGGAAGAGCAGGACTGGTTGTGAAATAGCTGACATAATAGGCCTGCCGTCTGACTTTGGCAGCTGGAAGGCTTCGTGTGACACTTGACCGAGTCAGCGCAGGTTGTGGCTTACTCACTCATAATTTTTGTTGTGAGGCAGTGCTTTCAGGTAGGCAGCTGAACTGCCCCCAGGTTGCACAAGTGTGGCCTGGGACCCAGCTAAAACAATTTGGTGGTTTGGTTTGAGGATGCCAGCCATGGATTCAGACCACATCATTTTTGTTTTTAATGTGAAGGGGAATTTTCTTTTCTACTGACTTTCCTTGAACCATTTGAGACTTCCCAGGCCCCACACGTGGAGACCATTTGATCCCAGCTCCAGCATTTTAGAGAGAAGCAGAAGGATCACAGGTTTGAGGCCAGCCTGTATTCTGTAGCAAGTACTACCTGACTCCTACAAAACAAAACAACAACAATAAAAAACAAGAGAACAAACAAACAAACAAACAAACAAGAAAGTAGGAATCTGAAGGCCTGGAAGTAAATACTTTAGCAGCTGAGACATGTGATCATGTGATGTTTGTGGATGACCTAGGCGCATATCTATAGACTAGATGGTCTAAATTTTTAAAAAGTTTTTTTTTTTTTTCCCAGGTTGTATCATCATTTAACTATGAGTGCTTACCAATTTACAGTGGGGTTTGGTCCCAGTACATCTACCATATGCTGAAAATATCCCAAGTGGAAAAATACATTGAATATACCTCATCTACTTCACACTTTGGTTCAGCAATGTGGTCTACACCAGACATCCATTGTTTCCCCTAACAATCTTTGGAAACATCCAAACTCAAAATTGGAACTACGGTTTCTACCGAAAGTGTGCCGCTTTCACACCACCGTGAACTAAAAGAACTGTTGTGGCTGTAAACATGATTTTGGTTTAGTCCCAGGTGTGGGATGTGGGACTGACTGTCAGATGGTCCACACCAGCCAATTATTTGCCTCATACAGGCTGAGAGGAGCTCTTTGCTGGCTCTAGATAGTTTAAACCTGAGGCCTCTGGAGAGAGAATAAATGCCAGAGCCCAGAGAGTGTGTAGTAGCTTTGAGAAAGAACAAGGCTGCTGCTTCCCCCCTTCAGCTCCTGTTGCTGTTGTTGCTGTGGGACAAGAAGTTGGAGATTCCTGAAACAAGAATTGTACTGGCTTCAAGGAACCCAATGACCCTAACCAGCAGGAAGCAGCTAAGAGAACTGTGACCCCTCTCCCACTAAGCCTTGCTCCTACCTGGTATTGGGGTGTTGGAAGGGATTATTTGTGGTGGAGTAGGGAGAAAGATATAAAATATGTAAATAAAAGAGTTTTTTTTAAAAAGTATGCCAACAAAGAAGCAAAAGCTGAGCCACCTCTATGTCATAGGCCATCTGTTTAACTTCTGGGAGCCAGAACAGATCACCTTGCCCTGTCTCAGAGAGGAAGACTGAGGGAAATGTCCTGTGTCTCACCCTCTCTGCCAGAAGACAGATAGGCAGTGGAAGCCAGAGACCACTATATCTTCCAGACTATCCCCAAGTCTCCATGATGGATGAGTGAGGAGGTCATTGTCTCTGCTCCTAAGGTCTTTCCTTTGTTTCTGGATATCATCCCTTACTCCTCTGCTCATCACCATCTCTGCAGGTTCACCCTTCTGCTTCTGCTTATGAGAGTTGCTCAAATCTCAATCCAGACATTTTGAGCTCTGGACCTACAGTAGTATAATCAAAGCCCATGAAGCTCTTGCCTCGCTGCTTTTAGTTGTGCAAAAAAGTACAAATTTTGGAGATCAGGTATCTAAGCAACACGTTAGTCTCCCACTAGCCTTGCTGAAGATAACACCTCTGATATGTGGGTCATGATGACAATGTTGTCTAGGCTATTTTTCAGGATAGAGAAGGCCACTTTTGTTGAAACCATTGACTCTTAAGGTGGGCTTGTTTGATGGGCCATTTCTTGCTACCACGGGACCAAAATCTTCATTCTCAGATCAGGCTGATATCTTGTTTTCTGAACATATTAGTGTCCTGTAAGGATCAACCGTGTATTACATCACTTCCAGTCACCTTTCCCTAAATCTAGCCCCTCCACCCCACTTTAGTTTTTTTGAGACAGGGTTTCTCTGTGTGGCCCTAGCTGTCCTGGAACTCACTATGTAGACCACGCTGGCCTCAGACTCACAGAGATACACCTGCCTGTGCCTTCCAAGTGCTGGGATTAAAGGTGTGTGCTACCATTGCCCCATCTTTCTTAAATCTTAAATCACTCTGTTATATCCATAACCACCCTCCGCCATGTTCTTTGGGAGGTTGTTAGAAGTTGGTCTGATGCCAGACCAACTGGCCCTTGAGATCTGGATATACCTATCCTTGTTTTGTGAACCTGCCTAAGATATAGCTAATTGGTTGATTAACGGCCTATACCTGGGCAGGGCAGAATGGCATAGGCATGGCTAAGGTTCCTAGGATTTTGGGTTCAAGAGAGAACCACGGGAACCAGACAAACAGATGGAAGGGAAGAGAGAAAGGAGGATGCCATGATGGCAATAAGCGGAGAAGAAAACCCTTGGGCTCAGAGGAAGGACTCCAATAATGGCATGAAAAGGCCCAGATGAAGAATATAAGCAAGTACCATGGGATTATGGGTGGAAGGTAGTCCAGAGAGCAATGATTAAGGCAGATGGCATTGGGTGGGGGCTGGGAGATGAATGATGAGGATATTGAGCCAGGACAGGTGCAATATCTGTCCAGCCCAAGGTAAATAAGGCAATTATAAATCTAACAGGGGTCTGTGTCTTATTGTTTGTGATAGCAGGTTAAATAATACCTCCGTGATAATCTTGGGGCTAACAATGAACATTATGTAGCCCAACATTTGTTTTATAATTTACAACAGGAGGTAGATTTGGCCAAATTATGAATATACTCTGTTTTGCAAAACTTATCATTTCAGTAACCAGCACCCTGCACCAGGGCAAAGAGTCCTGGTTCCATACCACGTACATTTAGCCTTTGCCCCTAGTTGCTGATATAGACTCCTAAGACAGCTCAAAGGGAAAGGGAATTGGTCATTGATTATGCATTTGTTATTTTGTTATAACCAAATTTTATAAAGAGCTGCTTTTGGTAATACCTGAGTTCATGCTAACGAGGCCATTTAAACTGGCTACCCTAGGCAGCCAGCCCACCTGATTACCAGAGAGAACCAGTGTTTGGAGGCTGACCCCCAGGAAGAGGTTAGTAATTTCTAAATTGTGGTCCCCAGAGCCCAGCCTCAGCATCTTCCTGTTAGAAATAATCTCAGGCACCACCTGGGCCCACCTGAATCCGATATGGGGGTGGGAGGGATGAGGGGTCGGGGTGGCGTGGCAATGGTGATGAAGTTATCAGTTGAAGTTTGGTCAAGGCAAAGTTGGCCTGATGCCAGGACAGTGAGGTGTTTCCCCCATCACCATCGATTAGGCTTTGGCCCCAACCTCCCATAAGGCCTGAGGTGTAGTAGACAGCCTGGAATCCTTGGGGAGGAGACCCGCAGGCCGGGCAGGGGAGGAAGGATGCGTGCGGGCTGCGGGAAAAGCTCCCACTGTGGAGAGAGGTGCCAACGGCGGGCCAAGGGGAGGACCGCGACGTGCTCTAGTGCCCGGCGCGAACGGCCTCCCGCTGTTTGGTCTGGCCGCTGGGGTCCGCTCCCGGTGGGTTCCTGCTCTGTCCCGGCCCACCAGCCGAGGTCACGGGGCAAGTAGGTGGGGCTGCAGCCTCGGCCTCCCAGCTTTTAGAAGCACCGAGGGGCAATTGCACAGATGCGACCCGAGACGTCTGAGGAATGTGGGGGGGAGGAGGGGGCAAATAGGATGAAAGGGAAGGGATGCACTTCGCTCTGAAGGGCTGCTTGCTAGCACCAATGAGGTGCTGGTATCGCGGATTCCCTAGGCAGTGGCAGCCGGGAAGTCCCCGCTGGGCAACAACCCTCCTCCGAAGACTCACTTCACTGGCTGGAAAACTTTGTCTACGCTCTGGGCTCTGAAAGTTGAGAGCCCTCCCCCCCAAGGGGTGGAACGGACGCTGCCTTGCTGAGGGGTGGATCAAGGCTAGCTTGCGACCTTCAGAAAGTCTTAGTTTCCACTGCGGACCTAGCTTTCAGGTGTTCCGACGCCGCGACTCCCCGCCCCCGGCCCTCCCCTTGGGATCTAGCCCCAGGCCAGCATCCTCCTCCCTCTCGGTCCCCGGCAGCCGCAGCTAAAAGCTGGAGGCTCCCGGCTGAATCCACTCTCCGCTCTGGAGCCCGGCTAGGCTGAGCCAGGGAGGGCGAGCCCAGGCCCCTTCCGCGGCAGGGGTCGCTGAGTTTCCAGGGGAGTCTCCAACGCCGCGCCCCCTGCAGGACGAGTCCCGGGCCCGGATGCTGTCATGGAGCCCTCCGGGGAGCAGCTGCAAAGTTCCGAGGCGCGCAGCTCTTCCGGGGACCCCCGGACCGCGGAGGAGCTGTCGGTCCCCGAGGTCCTCTGCGTGGAGAGCGGCACCTCGGAGGACCGGATCCCCGACGCTCAGCTCCAGGACGAGCCCCAGTCTCCGCCGAGAGGGGCCGCCCTCCCCGAGCAGGGGTACCTCCGCCCTCGGACGCGCTCCTTCTCTCTGCCCGCCGACCCCATCCTGCAGGCGGCCCGGCTCCTGCGGCGGCGGCAGCAGGAGGCGGGGCAGGCCGGCTCCGAGGGTGGCGGGCCGGCCGGGGACTGCTGCGCCAAGTGCAAGAAGCGCGTGCAGTTCGCAGACTCCCTGGGGCTGAGCCTGGCCAGCGTGAGGCACTTCAGCGAGGCGGAGGAGCCGCGGGTGCCGCCCGCCGTGCTCTCCCGCCTGCACAGTTTCCCGCTGCGCGCCGGGGACCTGCAGCAGCTGCTGACGGCGGCGGAGGGGCCCTCGCCCCCCCTGGCGCCGCCGCCGCCGCGCGTCCGCCTCCGACCCCTCTTCCGGCTCCCGGGGCCCGGCGCCGCGGAGGAGCGGCTGCGGCGGCAGCGAGTGTGCCTGGAGCGCGTGCGCTGCCCCCAGCCGCCGGGCGCCGACGTGACCGGCTCCGGACGGGTCCTCAGCTCCCCCGGACCCAGGGCGGTGGCGGTGCGCTACACCTTCACGGAGTGGCGCAGCTTTCTGGACGTGCAGGCCGAGCTGCGTCCCGTGTCACCGCCGCCCCCAGGGCTGTCCGGGGACTCTCTGGCAGGGGTTGGGGACCGAGAGGAGGAGCCGGCCACCGAGCGTTTCTGCTTCTCGCTCTGCCTGCCTCCGGGTCTGCAGCCCGGAGAAGGGGAGGACGCCGAGGCGAGGGACGTCGCTATCCACTTTGCCGTCTGCTACCGCTGCGAACAGGGCGAATACTGGGACAACAACGACGGAGCCAACTACACCCTGCGCTATGTGTGTTCCACAGACCCTCTCTGAGGATGGGAGCCTCGGGACTGGGAAAGAGGCTGACCAGAACCTCCAGCAAAGGCTCTCCTGGGACCCTTAGCCGAGCGTCGCAGATTTAGCATTAACCGAGCTTGGAGCGAAAGGAGCCAAGTGTTAAACCATAAATTCTGAGCGAAGATCCACGCACCAGCAGGCGCAGCGGGTCTGGCAATGTTCTGAACCCCCACTCTTCTCATCGCTTCCTCTGCACTTTTCTACTCGCCTTCTAGAATTCTCAGCCTGCATTGGGATAAGGAACACCCCAGCTCTCTGAGCTGAGGTTCTCTCTAAGAAAGGGGCTCTGGAACCCCGAGCCAGGATCTGTGACCTTGGAGATTTGTTTCTCACTTGAGATGTCCTTACAGCTTAATGAAAACCAGCTGAGAAAGGACAAGGCACCCACGTCCACGTGGGAGAGGAAGGTCCTCACACGTGCAACCCTCAGAGCCAGGCTGGAGTCTCAGAAGGCTAGGCGGGTGTCCTTTTAACTGGGCTCCAGAAACACCTGCCCCGACAGGATGCCATTTTCTTCTGTGATTGGATACAAATGTTCTTTAAGAAAGTAAAGGCCACGTGAACATACTTTCGCTCTGTGCTTCATGTTTTACCTTCTAAGGCTTTGGGGAGGCCGTGGCAACCCGGGGATGCTCAGCTGACGACCCAGGCGCCATGACAAGTAGGAAACACCAGAATTAAGTTTTCTCTTGCTACGGAATAGGCCAAGTTCCCCACACTGGGAAAAAGTGATCTTCAAAATGTTTTGTAAAAATGTGTTCAGTTCATTGCCACAGCAAAATGTTGGACGAATTAAAATGCCAGAGGCCTTGGCTGTGAGCTACAAGAACCCATCACATTCATCCCAAAGCCTTTTGTACATCAGAGCTGGTAACAGCGGCCGTTGGCAGTCAGAGAAGCTGGCCTTGCAGGCGGAACTCCAAGTGCAGGGGCTGGGGCCTGGAAAAGTGGCTTACTTCTCAGGCACAAGGGGGAGTGGGGACTTGATGGTGACAAGGCCCGCCCAGCTCGTGCCGTTCAGAATCTGACTGGGCAGCCACTCCACAGTGCAGAATCCTAGATGTGGGGACCACCGTCATGCACTGAGCATGGCTCCCTATGCCCAGGTCAGAGTGGGAGGGCATTCTGGGTGAAACCTTAGCTCCTTCCTTCCCACTGTTCCTGAGCAACTTATTTTCTTTAAAAAAGTATTATTGCAGGCCAGGGAGCTGAGGAGCTGAAGCCTAAGCTAAAGCCAGAGCATGAGCTAAAAGCTCCTTCTTCTTCTCCATGCTGTCTTAAATACCCCTCCTACTCTTTAATCCTTGTCAGCTGGTTTCTTGCTCTGTCTCTTGACTAGGGAAGTGGTGGCGTTCACCTTCAAGCCTAGCACCCAGGAAGCAGATACCTAAGTTTGAGGCCAGCCTAGTCTATAGAGACAGTTCTAGGACAGCCAAGGCTACACAAAATCCCTGTCTCAAACAACAACAAAACGTGTTCTATTTTCTAGCACGTGGCTAGCATAAATACTTAGTTTGGGATAATGGACTAAATTTAAGGGGGTGAGGAGGATGTTTTTATGGTTCTATGGGTCAGCACAGTTACCACAGGCCAAACATGACCCAAAGTCTGTTTTCATAGAACTATAGGACTTTTAAACCATGATTTTCACATGTTTAAAGTTTGTTTTTTTAATTTTAAAGAACTATTATTTTGTGACATGGAAATCATATTAAAGTCAGATATAGTGGCACACATCTGTATCCCGAGGACTTAGGAGGCTAAAGTGGGATTATCAAGAGTTTGAGGCCAGCCTTGGTCACCCAGAAAGACCACAGTAACAAGGGTTGAGTATGATGGCTCATCCATGCACTCCAGGACTCTGGAAGCTTAAATAGGCTCATCACAGCTAGCTGGAGGCCAGTAGAATGAGATCTGGATTAGACAAAAACAAAGGAAAAAAAAAAAAAGCTACCCAACAACAAACAAAGGACTGTATGGCATTCAAACTTGACCATCCACAAATATTTACTGCAACGTTCAGTGGGTGCTGTCCTGCACGTACAGCAAAGTTAGGCAGATGCAAAGTGGAAACCATTTCTTCTCTGACCCTTTATAGAAAGCATGTCAGTACTGCTTACTATTTTTAAAGCCATATGCTGAGAACTACAATCCACGAGACAGTCCACCTTCTAGTGACGCTTGCGGTTTAAAATAGTAAATATGGGCTGAGTGTGGCGGCACACACCTACAATTCCTGCACTTGGAGGCAGCTAGATCTTTGAGTTCTAGGCCAGTCTGGGCTACATAGTGAGGGATTCCTTCTCAAAAGAAAACAAATAACATTTTTGTTGTTGTGGGGGATGAAACCCAGGGTTTCAGATATATTAGGTTTGTAGATTAAGGGGTTAATGTCTCTAACACTGAGATACACCCTTAGCCTGTAAGAAACACTTTTTATTTATTTGTTTGTTGTGAGTATGGGTGTTTTGCCAGCATGTGTTTCTGTGCCGCCTGAATGCCTTGTGTCTTCAGAAGCCAGAAGAGGGTGTGGGGTCCACTGAGTTGTGAGTTGTGAGCCACCACGTGGGTGCTGCAGATGGACCCTGGGTCCTCTGGAAGAGCAGCCAGTGCTCTTGACTGCTGAATCATCTCTCCAAACCCTTAAGAAATATTTTAGTTCATAAATATAAATGAGGTTGAAATACAATTTTGCTTTAAAATTGGTTTGTTGTCATTTCAATCTGGGTGTAGTGTCGTTGACTAGTGTAATCTCTGTACTTTTCTCTGTATTTTGAAGGGAGGCTAATCCTAAGCAAAGCCACTAAGTATTTAAAAGTGTGTTGGCTATGGTCTGGGTGCCTTTCAGTCACAGAGCAGTTGCCTGGTGCGCCAGTAATTTTTCTCCTCTGGGGCAGCTGCTCCCAGTGCTCACAATCATGAATCAGGAAAAGATGAACACTCATCTCTGTTTCCTAGCCCCCTCTTTGCTCATGTATGTGCGTGTGATATATGCATATGTGTGCTTGTCCCTGTGTCCATACACACACGTGTGGAAGCCAGGGGTTGGCATCTGGTGTCCTCTTCTCCTGTTCTCTACTTTATCCTTTTTTTGGAGACAAGGTCTCTCACTGAACTTGAAGCTCATCACTTGGCTAGACTGGCTGGCCAGTCAGTCTCCAGCACCTGTGTCCTGTTTCCGTTGTCCAAGGCTGAGGTGACAGGTGCACCCCATCACACATTGTTATTATAAACAATCATGAAAATCCCAACCTTTCTATTCTACCAGTAAGGACTCAGGAGCCAGATGCTGGGGTGAAAACCTGCTAGCTCAGAGAGGCAGAGAAAGCACCAAGCTGACCTTCTCAGCTGAGGTCTAGATGGAAAAAAAAAAAACAACAAAAACAAACAAACAAAAAAAACCCCAAAGGCTAAGTAGCTCAGCTAAGAGCCCAGGAGGAAAAGGCCAAAAAGCCCAAGGCCGAAGGCTTGCTAGTTCAAAGCCCAAAACGCCAGGGATCTGAGCAGCTGAAGCCTAAACTAAAGCCAGAGCATGCGCTAAAAGCTCCTTCTTCTTCTCCATGCTGTCTTAAATACCCCTCCTACTCTTTAATCCTTGTCAGCTGGTTTCTTGCTCTGCCTCTTGACCCAGGGTTAACTTTATTAGATCAGGTATACAGAAAGCTGTTGGACGTAACTTGAACCACATCATAATCACCTGTTTACAATAAAACAAAGTTCTTGGATCAGGGGGTATGTTAGGCCTCAACCAAACCACACAATAAACAGGGTTTTACAGTTCACAATTTTGGGGTTCACAATGGGATCAAATATCCTGCAACAGCTCTTGTCTTTTGAGACGGGTTTCTTTGTGTGGCTTGACTGACCAGGCTGGCGTAGAACTCAGAGATCTATGTGCCTCTGCCTCACAGAGTTCTTTTACAAAAGCAGGCCCTCATTCCAGCATGGAGAGCTCCGTACCAAGTGTGCCATATCCCAGCCTCATGTTCTTTTTTATTCAGCCTGAGACCCCAGCCCCTTTAGGGTGTCTTTCACATTCATGCTTTGCTTTCCCTCCCCAGTTAAACCTTTTTGGAAATATCCTCATAGGTACAGCTAGAGATGTAATTGTAAACCTCGTCAAGGTAGATAATGATGATTAACCATTGCATCTAGTAGGTGTGAAGGCCTTGATTTGATGCTCAGCACCACAAAATAAAGGGAGAGGGGAAGAGGAAAAAGTAGAGGAGGAGTTTAACAGTTGATTTCCAAAAGAAAGGGAACATGCCCCTTCAAAAACAAAATTTGCACAATGAAGCTGGTGCCCTTTGCCAGAAGATTCACCTTTATTTGACAAATGTAGTCATTCTGCATGAAAATGTAATAATGAAAAATCTTGTGCTGGGTTGTGGTGTTGCACACCTTTGAGACAGGTGGAGATCTCTGTGAGTTCAAGGCCAGCAGGTCTACAGAACAAGTTCCAGGACAGCCAAGGCTACACAGTGAAACCCCTTGAAAAACAACAACAATGAAAATCTTATCTAGCTCTAGTCATTAAAGACTATCTTCTTCCCTGTGACTTAATGACCCTGTCCTACATTAAAGAGAGATTCCAGAAGCTTCCTGGTCCATGAATCTCTGATTCAGGGGATGTTGGATGGAAAATATGTTCTCTGAAGCAGTGAAAGGAAGCCTGGAAGTTTCCATGGTACAACATGTTTCCTGAGGAAAGTCCATGTTCATAAAGCAAGATGGGCAATCTATTTGAAGGATTTGGGGTTGGGGGTCTCATGCTCAGAGAGTAGTCACTGCACTCTGGGTATCCAGAGAGCTCTGGGGACCAGGCATCTCTGTCCAGCAGCAGAGATGGTCACTGTTCCGAAGACCTGAGAGCGCTTGGGAGGGTGACTGTCTTATTATCCACAAACCTCTATTCTCAAAAGCCTGAGAATTTTCTCAGTGTGTGTGTGTGTGCGCATGCCTGAGAGCACACGTGTAGCTGCAGGTTTCTACTCTGAGGTCTCTTCATCTGTTCCACCCTTCTTTTTCTGCTAGGCTATAGGATTTTCATTCACCAATTCATGAGTTTCACAAAATTCAGCTGTAGCCACACAGCTTTTTTCTAGTTTATTAGGCTAAGATTTTTCATTTCCTCCATCTTGGCTGTGCAGGTCTTTTGAGCACTGTGCCTTGAAACCCCTGGCTTAGCCGCTTGCATCGTATCTTCTTCAGGAGTGGGAGGAAAGGCACAATGGTGGAAATGCCGTGTTCTCCTTTCCGTGGCTTCATGGAACTGAATCAAATGTGCATTTCTGGCACATGTTTCAGGACCCAGACTAGAGAAATCACTGAGGTCATAACAAATGGCACTTCCAGGTGACAGATAGCTCCAGCCTTTGCCTGGGAAGTCCCCCCAAAGTAGGGGGTTTGCCAGGTTCACAGGACCAGGGACCTGCAGCTGTTTGAAGTCATTAGGGCTAGATTAAGGTTTAGGGCAGGGAGGTGACAAGCTCAGCTCACTTTTAGTGACCTGGTTTTCTCCACCTCAGAGCAATCTGGGGAAGGTTAGCACCATTAACAGCTATAACTTCGAGAACCGAGCTTGGTAGAGCTCTACACTTTGTGTCTTGGACAGTTTCTGTAGTTGAGGAATGTAACCACATTTAACAGACAAAGGAGCCCCCAGCAAGAGGCATCACAGCCACACACAAGTTCTTTATGCTTTCACCTGGCTTTTGTTTGATGCAGTTTAGGATCTTCACTTCCTGATGCACAAGTGTATCTCATATATACATTAAGAAATGCTTCCTTGGTTTAGGGAAGTGGATGTACAGTAGGTTTAAAGAGGAGTGCCCAAATGGAAGTCCTTCATCTGATGGCACTGATTATAGACAACAGTTGAACAAAATTCTCTTGGCTCATGTTGAAAGTCCACACACAATGCATATTGTATAAAAGATGATCCTTGTTGGTCATTCTGTATGCATTGACTGTAAATGCCTCTAACTCTGTAACCCTTTTCCTTGTATACATTACAGTTTATTTAATCATGGAAGCCTTGATTCCCTGAGGAGGTGCAGGCAGCTGTAGGTAACTCACATGGGCCACACTGTGGTCACCAAGGACATCTCAGTCAACACAGTCTGGTCACAAACACTCTTAACATGTAGAAATTCAGGTCTATTTGTGTTGACAATTCACGTGATCCAATTTCAAAGCGGTGAGACACCCACTTTGTTTGTGGTCTGCACAGTGGTAAGGAACTACGTAAGGAACAGTCAAATCCATCACTGAATGTTCTCTTTCCTGTTCTCTCTGTAGGGTTTTTGGACTTGAAACTGAGCTCCTGAGCAGAAGCACCAGGCCCATCCAGCTCCCTATGTGGGTATCAACACAAGAAGCAATTTTCATCAATGGCTCCCTGAAGCTGCAAAGCGCTGCAAAGACTGAAAAAGGAAGATCTGCTCCATCTAGACTCTAGGTAAACTGTGAGAGGGGAGCGGGGAGAGAGGTTTGCTTTGTCACCCAGCACAGTCTCCACTGCCAACTCCATTTTATAACAAGGGGCATATGCTCGGTGAGCAGGGAGGCACAAGGACACAGGCTGCCTCAGTTCTTGTTAGTGCTCCAGTGTCATCATGTGACCTTACCAGATTTGCTTATTACAATGACCCAGCTGCTCCGTGTGGCTTCCGACTTGTACCTTGGTGGCTGGTACAAGTTGACATTGACAAATTTTCCTCAGATAGAGCTTATGGTTGTCAAGGTTTGATCCCACAGGGCTTGCATATGGCTCAGCAAAAGAGTGCTCTGCAGTGCTGAGGTCATCTGGGTTCTGTATTGAGAATTTTGGTTTCTTTTTTTTTTGACTTTTATTTCTCTATTTATTTATTTATTTATTTATTTTTAAAAATTCTTTATTAATTACATTTTATTCACTTTGTATCCCCCCTGTGGTTCCCTCCCTCCTCCTGTCCCAATCACTCCCTTCCTCCACCCTCTGCATACATGCCTCTTCCCAAGTCCACTGATAGGGGAGGTCTTCTTTTCCTTCCTTCTGATTCTAGTCAATTAGGTCTCATCAGGAGTGGCTGCATTGTCTTCTTCTGTGGCCTGGTAATGCTGCTTCCCTCTCAGGAGGAGGTAATTAATCTCTTTTGCTAAATATAGCAAATATTCTCTCTAGGCAGATCTTGCTATGGGTGCATATCTGTTCTACAGAGCTTGAGGTAAGCTTGAGGTAACCTCAATGGAGGTTTTTTTTTTTTAACTGTTTTATGATATGACACAAGGCAGAGCGCTTCCCTAGCACACTCGGTTATCTGCGGCACTGGGAAAAGAGTAAGAACAATATTTCCATTCCTTGGAAATAAGAGGCTTTCTGTGTTGGGTGTGGCTATGTGGGAAAGGGTCAAAGGTGACTGCTGCAGAGCATGCTAGTCAATCTATGTCACATCCTGAAGATGCTCTCTTAGCTCTACCATCAAGAGCACAAGAGCCACCAGAGCAACACAGCTTGGCTACATACAGTTGCTCTAGAACCAGAATTGGAAAACCCAGATAGGCCCACCTAAAGCCAGCCGAAGGTCTGGGAAATGGCTGCCTAGTATGTGGTTATTTATTATTATTATTATTATTATTATTATTATTATTATTATTATTCTTTTTGCCTCAGCAGAAGTGAACTTTTGGTGGCATTTCTCATCTGCCAGCTGCTGACACAGTGACCCCTGGCACCTTCAGAGCAGAGCACACTCTGGAGAGTTGAGATGGCTTGCTCTAGTGGTTTAGCTCCTCCAACACATAGCCTGGCTCAAGCTCTACAGTTGGGGCGATCAGGTAAGCATGAGGCCGCATTATGCAAACACAATTAAATGCCACTTTTCTCTGGACACTCGAGAATCAAGTCGAAGTCCTCTGCATCTGGGGAACACTGAATATGGGGCTCTGCACAGCAACTCCTGTTTGTGGGCTTTTTTTTTTTTTTTTTTTTTGTCTCAATTCTACTTTGTTTTTTCATGTAGATTCCAAACACAGTTAATTTGATCTAAGTGACAATAAGTAGCTCTGTATTATCAAGCCCTGGGCATGTCCAAACCCATTTATGAGGTTTAATTAACACAGAAACAGCCAGCTGTCAATGGTTTGCAGAACAAGCCGAGTTTACTCCATGTTGTCTGTGGAAAGCAATCCTGTGGGGAGTCTCCCACGGAGCTGCCACTCTGCTTGCAATGTGACCCTTTCAGGGGAGCGAGTTAGGCTGCACAGAACAGGTGCTTAACGATAACTTTGAATTGGGAGAGCACTGTCCACAGCATTGCCGTTAGATGCTGAGCGACCCTGTAGTGGTGCTCAGTGGACCCAGCAGCAAGGACCACCTTGGGTGGTCCTCCAGGGATGGGTGACACGGCTGCCCGAGTCAGCTGAAAGGGGAGAACACACGTCACCTGTTTTTCACCCAGGCCAAATGCCCTGTTTCTTGACTACTTCAGCTCCCAAGAATGGACCCAGTGGTACGAGACTCATGACTCCCAATGATCTTCACTACTCTTACAGGTATACAAGACATACTCTGAGCTCAAGAGCTGCACAGCTCGATGAATGAGAACAAAGCGTGACACACAGGTAAGGAAATTCTAAAATGAAACCTGGGATGGGCTGAGTAAGGGTGGCCCCCCGTGGGCTCCTATATTTGAATGCTTGGTCATCAGGGAGTGGCACTACTTGAGAGGTACTGGGTGTGGCCCTGTTGGAGGAAGCGTGTCACTGAGTGTGGGCTTTGAGGTTTCAAAAACCCAAGCTAGTACCAGCGTGCCTTTCTTCTTCTGCTGCCTGTGGATACAGATGTAGAACCCTTACTTCTCCAGCACCATGTCTGCCTGAATCCTTACCGCAGAGACACCAGGGTAAACACCTGTGACAGGCTCTATGTAGTATGGGCTAGCTTAGGATTTTATGTAGCCAAAAGTAGCCTCAAACTGACAGTGCTCCTGTTTCAGCCTTCAAATGCAAAGAACACAAATGTGCAACACCACAGCTGGCTCACTTTATGTGAGTGTGGTATATGCACGTGTATATGGTCACATACATACATGTGCATGCATGTGGAGGTCAGAGGTCAATGTCACTGGATATCTTCCTGTCGTTCTCTACCTTAATTTTTGATGCAGAATTTCTTACTGAATTTGGAGTTGACCAGTTTGGTTAGATGGGCTGGCCAATGGAGCTTTTAAGATTCACCTGTGGTGTGCCCAGCTTTTTAAATGGGTGCTGGGAGTCTGAACTCAGGTCCTCACTTTACCGTACATGGACTGGTCTCCCAGCCCCACTTCTATGCGTTCTAGGGTTAACAGATGGCTTGTACTCAATTCACATGAATGCCACAAGAACTAATGATACACTGTGTGAGCTACTGTAGCAACTTCACTACTTAAATCCCGAGTCTGCTCAGGATTGAGAAGAAATTCTTCCAGTGGGATAGGTCCCTGAAAACTCTCCAGGGAGTTTTCAAACTTCTTATGTTTGGAAGGAATGGATTTTCTACAACATATGACATCTTTAATACCTGGCAAAGGCTCAAAGACAGTGGCCACTGCTGACTGGCTGATCGTCAGTCACCTGGAGAACTGTATTTTATTCTTATTATTTTTAAAATTAAGATTTAATTAATTTTGGTGTATGAATGTTTTGCTTGTATGTATGTATGTATACCTTGTGTGTACCGGTTACTGCAGCAGCCCAAATAGTGCACCAGATCCCTAGAACTTCAGTTATTGATGGTTGGGAGCCACCACGTGGGTACTGGAAATTGCATCTTGGTCCTCTTCAGGAGCAAAATGCCCCCCCCCCCTTAATGTGCTGACCATCTCTCCAGCTTGAGAACTGTATTTTAACCATTCTGAACTCTGGGTACTCTACTCCCTGCTGATTGAGGCGCTAAACAGAAAGGTAACATGCATTCATAACTCATTCCTAGCGTCCCTGATGTCTCGGGACTACACAGAGTACTTCCCAGACTTCAGGGAGTGTATGGCCTCCCTGGGGATTGCCAGAACTAAGATTCAGTGTGCCCAGGAGGGGCTTGGGACCTGTGGTTGTAGGTCTGAGTGGCTGGGCATTACCTTAAACTCCTTGTCTTGATCCATGTCCTCATTATCTGTGTCTGAGATGGTGCTTGTACTTGCCTTTTAAAAGGCAATCTTCAGCTGATGGTTCCCACTTCTACTGTCCTTGCCATGTCAGGAAATAAATGCACATTCACTGCAATGGGTTTATTTGGTACAAAAGGATAGGGAGATAATTATGTTTATTGTTAAGGACCAAGACATAAAATCTGCAAAGGCTCTATACAAATGTGGGTGATCTGCAAGAAGGGGTGGGGTGGTGAGGAGACACGATAACATATAGCATTATCCTGAGTGACTTCCAGCTCTTCATTCTAACACCTGAACTGAGGATGCACAACCATTTCTTCACAATATGGCTGTGAGAGAATGCAAATGAGAATGCAAATGCTCAGTTTATCAGCAACTACAAGGCAGGCAGAGCAACAGGCTACGTTCAGCCAGGATTGTGTGAACACTCTATGTAGAATGGATGCTGAAGGTGGTCAGTTCTGCTGCGGCGGCTGTTTCCTAGTGCTGGGCTCCTATGTCCTGGGCTTCTCTTGATTTTCAATGATAAGCTTGTCAGTTGAATACAGCTGGCCAATATGCACCTGAAGGCAAACAAAAGACACGGTCAAGAACTGTTGGATTCTGTGAGCTATTTGGTTTGAGACAGAGCCTTGCTGTGTAATTCAGGCTGTCCTCGATTTGCCATCCTCTGACAGCCTCACAGGTGCTGCAGCTATAGAGGTGTGCCACCAGCCTGGTTTCATTTCTAAACCAGGCAGGTGTCTGTCATGGCAGGCTGATGGCTCTGGAAACTGTGCTAAAGGGCAAAGTTCATGACCATGTGCCTTTGTTAGTCCCCTTACTTTCCACCTGCCAGTCTCCTGTACGTGGAGGTTAGGAAGACCCCCATATTTCTTTCAAGTGTCACCATGGCCTGTCTTGGTATTTGGAGCTGGCAAGGCTATCTACCAGGCTCCCTGGCTGCCCGCTGCAGGCAGACCCAATCCTATGTACAGCTTGCTCCTCCATGGGAATTCCTTCTCTCACAGACAGCAGCCTGTGCGGTGTCTAGGCTGGCAGTCTGTGCTTACCAGGCTTCTGCTTCCTGTGTTTCCTGCCTCTTCGTTGTGTCCTTTCTAACTAAGTGTCTCTGTTGGTATCCTAGTGCTCCTACTACCTCAGATGCTGGAACAGCAATGCAGGGCTGTCCCTTTTCTAGAACAGAGAGACGTTGTCATGGTTTCCCATTAAAGGCACTTCCTGGGCAGTACTTTAAGGAACAAGCAGAACTGGGAAAGCAAGTGCTGAGCATTAAGATGTCCATCTGGATCTCAGCACTTGGACACTCTCTATGGACCATCTGGGGCGAGAAATTGCTCTTTACAAAGGGGACTGAGAGCACACTCCCAAAGGCCTGGGCTGCCACCCAGAGTGGTCATGTGTCAGAATCCAGACTCTCTCAAGGGTTCTTCCTCCCTAGCCCCCTGAGGCAGGGTTTCTCTGTCTAGCCCTGGCTGTCCTGAAACTTGCTTTGTGGATCAGGCTGCAGTCAAACTCAGAGATCTGCCTGCCTCTGCCCCCAAGTGCTGGGACTGGCATGGTAATGCTGGCACTACCATGAAGGACCTTCTCAAGGGTTCTTTCTCTGTCTTAATGCTGTATTTTAAAGAGAGGCCCCAGGGTAGAGAAGTATGGCCCTAGTAAGGAACATGGTCAGTGTGGATTGCTCCCACCAACAGTAGCGGCTGCTGAAGGCCTCCTGCCTTCCCTCTTTCCCCACGCATTGGTCCTGACATGGTCTGCACTTGAGAAGCCACCCACACAGGCAACTTAACAGCTGCGTATCTAAGTTCAGAGTGTGGAGACGGGTATCACTGCCACAGTTGCCAGCAAAAGTGTGTGAAGGTGGGGATCTGGACAAAAATCACAGTGGTGAGCTTGTTTCTGTGTCTGCGGTCTTGTCTTCTCATCGACACAGGGAATGCCAGGTGGATGGGACCTGGGAAGCTGAATTTTTCAGGACACTGAACATATTGATGAGCATGGCTGGGACCTTCTTCAGGTCTGTGATTAGCTGGGTAGATTTTCTTGACAGCCTGAAGTAGCTGTTGGTGTACTGAAGCATAAGTCTTAAGAGAAAGACCAGTGCTTTTCTCAACGCTGAATATTTGTAATATCTATTAGTAAATTATAAAAGAGTATATATTAATAGATCTGTAAAATACATCAGTGAATTGTTTGCTGCTGTTTAAGTCATTGAGAAGCTGGCTCTGGAGGCTTTGTTGCCCCTGGCCCCATTTCAGACCCAAGAATGGTCAGTGTGTCTGCAAAGACCCCCCTGTCTACCCATCCCTGTAAGAAACAAAGGAGAACAGAAACACAGCTCATTAGAATAAAAACTTCACGTCCCTGATGGCACAGCCAGGAGGCACCTTCCCAAAGCCAGGCTTTGTTCCTGCTTTATCCATGACAGAACCTGAAAAGGCCTGTGGCGGATGGCTAATTGGAAGCCTCCCCCTGGAGTACACATTTCACCTGGGAACTTCTTCTCCAGCACACTCTCCGCCTGACTGTTTTGGTTCGAGGAGCTTCCCCAGTCAGTTTCTGCTGAATGTTGAGTCTGATGTGATATCCTACTATCTTTCTGCTGTTTTATTTTTTATTCCTGCTTGTTGTATACTTAATAAATATACTCCTTCAAAACCAAAGCATGGCTATTGTGAGCCATTCTCATACAAAATAGACCTATGGACTCACTGTCAAATAGTTTTCAGAAAAGTTAAAATACAAATAATTTCTTAAACAAAGTAACAAATCATTATTTAAACGTTTACATAGCTGGGCTAGGTTACCTACATGTGACTTTAGTTGACAGCTCAAATGGGTCAACTAGTGGGAGCTTGTTTTATATTTAGTTGATTTTGGAGCCTTTCTTTTCTTTCTTTCTTTTGGGGAAGGGCATTTTGGGAGACAGGGTCTTTCTATATAGCCCTGGCTGTCCTGGAACTCACTATGTAGACCAGGATGGCCTTGAACTCACAAACACACCTGCCTGAGTGCTGGGATTAAAGGCGTGTGCCATACACTCAGCTTAACAAGAGCTCTTCTTGTTAAGCAGTGTTGATTTATATACAGGTTGAAATGTGCAGGGGATAGAACTGACTTGACAGTGTTTTCCAGCAAAGTCCTGTACCCATTCCTCAGAATTCCATAACCAGGTGCTCACCTGTTATCCAGCACTTGGGAAGCCGAGGAGGATCACATGTTGAGAGTCATCTTTAGTACAGACTGATTTCAGGTCCATCCTGGGCTACATAAAACCGTGTCTCAAAAACACAAAAACAAAACCAACCAAATGCCTGTCTAAAGGCTTCACTGACACAAAGCTGTGACAAATGTGTCCTGCCCCACAATCACAGTGTGTTGACCTGGATGTGTAAAGCAGGAAAAAAGGTGTTTCCTGCTGCATTCTTAATGAAAGCTTCCCCATGACACTGAGCTTAATGCAAGCTTCACAAATCCCACTAAATTCTGAAATTGACAGAGCCCAAACGAATCCAACTTACAATTCATTTTGTCCCAAGTATCAGTTATTATTATTATTATTTTCTATGTAGCCTTGGCTGTCTTGGATCTCTCTCTGTAGACCAGGATGGCCTCAAATTCTTAAGACATCTGCCTGCCTCTGCTTCCCAAGTGCTGGGAAGCCACCACCGCCTGGCTATCAGTTAGGTTTTTAAAGTCCATTTAAATTTTCAGTGCTGGGATAGAAGCCAGGGCTACATGCATGTTAGATTAGACAAATGATCTAGCCTTGAGCCATACCCCCAAATTGTCAGCTGTGTAATTTTATGGCCTGGGGTGTAGTTTACGCAGTCAGATCTTGATAGTGTGGACAGTGTTAGCAAGTATAAAGGCGAATGAGACCTGCCTGTCTAGGATCTTGTCTGTACTACAGCCCTCCCATAGCTGCTCACTGCTTCTGCCTTTGAATGTCTCACATACTGCAACCAGGCTGTGGGTCCCTGACTTCTATGTGTCTCTGTTTGGTATGCTATCAAGAGAGGCTCCCTCCATGTCCACCCCAGCAAAGCCTGCCCACACTTTGGGCCAGAGGTTAAGGCTTCCCTGGTCTCCTGTGTAGATGGAGCTGTTTTCCTGAGAGAGCATGGCAGAGATGGCAACACTCACATGATCTTCACACATCCTGTACTGACTCTGAATGAGCTTGTTTCAGTGACTGGTGGGGATGAGGCGGGTGTGTGTGTGTGTGTAATTACTGAATTGCCTTGCTCTCACAGCCACTCAAGAAGGGACAGGCATGTGGGCAGTGTCCAGTAAGTATCGTCACCTACCACATAATGATGTTCTGATCAAAGACACACGTCCTACGTGATGGTGGCCCTACAAGATCATATTGCCTAGTGGCACTGTAGTTTTTGAGCCCTGTGACGGTTCCCCAGCAGTAAAATGGGCTAATGATTCATTTCTCTGGACGGGCTAGCCCATCAGTGGTGATGCACGGCTTTGCTTGGTAACTGACGTGGTGGTGTGTGGCAACCTCTGGCCATAAGATTCTATGCTGGTTACTGTGAAACCTAGATCTGCTATGATTAACTAAGTGTAGAAATAGAGACCCAGTGAAGGAAAGCTGATAAAAACAGCAAAAGAATGACTAATTCCTGGAACAAGACATCCACTGATGATAAACAGAACCCAAGAGTTTAAAGTTGGCTGGGCAGAGGGTTTCACAGGGCTATAGGGATCAACCCAGAATAATCACAGAAGCAGTAAGGGAAACACTGAATTCACACAGGGAGGGAATTTCAAACAGCCATCTCAGTAAGTGCTACAGAGTCGAGCCCACAAATGTGCTTCTAACTGTGCTGCTGAATTTTTTGGGCCTGTACAAGGCATCAGCACATGCAGAAGGCTAGTGGGATTAAGCTGCAGCACTGATGCCACAGCATGCTGCCCCTGGGCTGCAGGTTAGAGGGCCTGTCCAAGGGAAAGAAGGAAGTGCAATTAGCAGTTTCAATTTACAGCCCCCTCAGAATCCACAACTGACTTCCCAGGCCAGGCCAGACAATTACTCTGCATAAATTGGCCATTAAAATGGTTCAGACTTTTCTTTTTTCCACACTTTTCTTATATAAACTTTGGGCATTAGAGTCTATTAGAAAAATACAGATAATTCAAGTGTGTGTGGGGGAACTGAAACATCAGACACACATGCTGTTGAGAGGAGGAAGCAGGGTCCATGAAATCAGAATTTATCTTAGTTGTTGAACTCTTTACTGCTAACTCTTCAGAAGTGATGTGCAATCATCCTCCACTGCATCTGAGACTCAAGGGCAGGGAGAGCTGGGCTCAATAGCCAGAAGAGGGGACAAAGAGACCTGCCAATGGAATGGAGCTGCCCTGCTAGGAATCCTAAACCCAGCCATGCTACTTCCTGCTTGTGTCCCAGAGTAGCCGGGAATCAAACCAGACAACAGGTATGGGGAGAACTTAGCAACTATTGTAGCTCCTCCCAAAGTCCAAATACAGGGATGTACACAGCAAGTGCATGTTAAATGCTACGTGCATGACCCATCTCAGT